AAGCTCCCGACAGCTTAATCGACAATCTCTATTTTGATTTAAAGCTTTCGTGGCTGCAGGGATTCATCTTCTTGGTTCTTTCGGTAAAGTCACGTAGAATGAAAATAATACAATAATAAAAAGAAACATAATAAAATACAATTCTCACGACGTTTCGGCCACTCAATCTCTATTTACGTCTAAAACTTCAGATAAAATAGCACCCACCGATGTGTAGTACATTACCTTTAAATGCACCGTAATTGCATAGATTTTACCAGACTATAAAATATGGTTGGGCATAAACTTGCTGGTTGTACGTGTGACTTTCGCATTGGTTTATATGCTATGAATACTGTATTTAACAGACTAGTTTACTGACTGCATATATCATTTTTTTGTCGTGTTATTTACAAGAATACAGGAGAACGATATATGAAATCACATGCGCCTGGCTGTAACAATCATGCCCTCTATCCAGGTGAGATCCTATTGAGATGGGCATTGTTTACACCGAAGACTGTAAACACATTCCTGCGGAGGGAGCTGGTAGGAACGTTGGGTTGCTCGGTCAATGGCCAGGGTCAACGGCGGCGTGGTGTATTCCGCAAATATGCCCGACTGTGAGGGCGGGCACAAGCCGGCGTGAGTAGGTTAAACGTTGAGTTTTATAAGGGCACCACGGGGTGACCAGCCCCTCCCCACCCAGCCCCACCCAGCCCCACCCCACCCCTCCCACCCCCACCCAGCCCCTCCCACCCCCACCCAGCCCCTCCCCATCCTCCCCATCCAGCCTCTCCCCACCCTCCCCTCTCCACCCAGCCCCACCCCTCCCGTTTTTGGATTCACGACGGACGGACGGACACAATAATCCCTTGTGGGCTGGTGTAACCAGGAGGTTCCTACCAGTGTTATCCTTCACACCTGCAACAGTTGGCGATTATCAAATGTAAGTGCAGGCAATTTAAAAAAAAACACCGCTGTTTCATGGGGTCGATTCGTGGCTAGTGATATATCCACCAGATGTGGCTATTCCCTCCTTAAACAATCTACACTGACCAGTCTGGTGAAGTATGGTCGAGCAACCCCATGTCAAACACCGTGGGGGACACCTATATCCAGAAATTGGATGAACAAATGACTGAATGTCATTGTTATGCAACGTCGTCGCCTTATAGATGCAAACAGACTAATACAGCCCCATGGGGTTAACCGAAGCAAGTGCCATCGGCGAGTACCTATTACGGGCAGTAATGGCAAAACTAACATGCCTTGCCACCTTTGATCAGTGAAGATGTTGTTTGACACTGTGCACAATTGTTTCAGCCAGATCGAGCTCTCGCCCCGGGTCCATGGATTTGTTTCCATGGGTGTTGAACGTGGCCAAGCATTGAATCTGGCACGCAAGGATCATCACGCAGTCAGGGAACCAGAGCACTGTTGCTCCTCCTAATACAGGCAAAGATCCCCCGTATAGCCTTAACCGACGTTTGGGGCAAGTGCTGTTCGCAAGCACCCATGCAGCCCGGCGGGGCACGGTAACACCACGCCCGGACGCCTTTGTCTTCCCAGTGGCGATGTTTACACACTGCACCAGGTACTCATTTTAGGCTGAGTTGACCTAGGGGAGGCCCAGGAACGGTTCAGATAATCGTCACTGGTGTTGGCCGTGAGCAGGAATCGAACTCGCATCGGCAGATTCGAAGCGCAGCGCGCTAACCACTACGCTACCACTCCTCCTACTACGACAAAAACAAAGATCCCCCAGTATAGCCTTAACAGACTGTTGTGGCAAGTGCTGTTAGCGAGTAGCACCTATGAAGGCCGGCACGGCACACAAGGGGGTGGGTGGCCAGTACCACGCTCGGCCGCCTATGTCTCCCCAGTGGCGATGTTTACACACCGCACGAGGTACTCATTTTAGGCTGAATCGACCTAGGGAAGGCCCAGGACCGGTTCATATAATCGTCACCGGTGTTGGCCATGAGCGGGAATCGAACCCGTGTTGGCAGGTTCGTAGCGCAGCACGCTAACCACTACACTACCGCTCCTCCTACTATAGTTACTTACACAAACACATTGTATATGTGTTATGCATCTATACAATTCCATACACTGTTTAATCCTTACTCCTAAAAGGAATCGGTGGGAGGGATCAGAGGGGGGGGGGGTGTTTGGGCTGCGAGGAAGGGTGGGTTACGGGTGGGTTACGGGTGGAAGAGCGGTGCATTGGGGATGGGCATGACATCGTTGTGTAACTAAAACCCAGTTGTCGACCGGAGATTTTCTGCTGTATATAATTTGCACTCTCTCACACACAACACGCACACACACAATAACACACCCACGTGTTTACACCACTCCTGGTCCTCAAGATTAGTTCTCAGCCTCGCGGTCTGGCCCGAGGACATGTTCCCAGTTCTCTCAGCCTTGGCCTGCGTGGCCACGGATGTCCCTCGAGGTGGGAGGACGTTGAGGGAGGACTGGCTGCCCCTATAAATGTCCACGAGATGATAGCAGCCCAATTCGTTGAGCTGCTATAATGTGTGGCCAGATCGCTTCTGAAAAAGAGCTACATGGCTCAGTGAACCTGACCTGGTGATCTAAAAAAAATAGTTTAGAGTTTACTTTGGTGTGGTTCCAACCTGGTCACGTGGAATTATAACGCTCATAAAATGTCTAAATATCGACTGACTTCTAAAAAAAAATATTGAAAAAAAATACCGCAAAACCTTTTTTTCTTTCACAATATGCAATTGTTAGGAGGTTCATTAGCTGCCCAAACATTTCCAATATTGGTTCACAGAGTTTGGACACATTTGGTGGTACCGGTTGTGGCTGCCTTGTCTGTGGCTTACCGCTCCTGCGCGCTGAAACTGCGCGTGCTGCATACGAATGATGCCAGTTAAAAATATCAACATTGTTATTTCTCAATATCTCACTTGTCATTCAAATTGTTTGGCGGTTACCGAAATGCAACCAGCCAAGAGGATCCAGCCTTGGCACGGGCCTCAAGCTAATTGGCTTCCGGCCTAAGCCTCAAGGGGTCCCAGCCTTGAATCCAAGACTCGTTTATACTGCCCGCTAGCATCCACACCATCCAAATCTGGCCCAGAACCCAGGACGATCCAGCCAGCACAATCGTACAAAGGGGGCTGTGAACAGGAATACATGACGTCACTGTAATCATGAGGGAGATAGAGAAGTTGATTGTGGCTTATAGTCAAGAATAATGAAGGAGTGTGAGCTAAAGGATGGAACGCGTCCGAAATGATGTCCACCACGGATATGGATTGATTGTTTCAGATGGTGTGCAGGTGCTGGATTGATCATTATAAAAATTAACCCGTAAAAACAAAGTTTTTCACTATAAATCCTTTATATGCGTGGCGGCTAGAGTCCTCTCGTCCTCTGGCTTGAGATGGCTGCCACCTATGGGTCAGATGATTGTCTGCCAGCATTAAGCAATTGGTAATTAAATATTTTAAAAAAATTCCCTAAACAGTGTAAAATGTTGGAAAAAATTTTTCAAGAAAATTAATTGTCACGCACAACGAGTCTGTGTGGAAAATGTCAGCTCGATTGGATCACGGGAAGTGGGTTAAAAAACGACCGAAAGATTTGCACGGTCGTAAGCAAGCAAGCACGCAAGCACGCAAGCAAGCGAACTTAATATAAAGGATTTTAAAAAGCAGGAGCGTGGGAGATGATAGTGGTTTGGGCAGGGCTTTGTCCAGCAGTGAGGTTGATCATGGTTGGTGAGGATTGGAAAATAAGAATTAATAGTATGGGACCTTTTTCGCAGTATCCAAAAAGATGAAATGAATATATTATCAGAGTGTGTTTGTTTGCATGTGTTGCCACAAGTATGTGTGGTTAATGCGGACTTGATACATTGCAAAAGGTTATCTATTTCGTGTTTGAGCATCTTAACACCTGTTTTGTTGCCAGAAAAAAGGGGGAAACCCTATTATCATAATTGTATTTTTTCACGTGCTATACAGCCAGATAATACAACAAATCGCTCACCTTAAACACCCAGTCGTTCATAAAAGTCGAAGGCAGTATAGTACTATAGCAGTAGAGCAAGTGCAGAATCACTGAACCGGAATTGATAGCTTGAAAGCATTTAGCGCGGGGACCCTTTAAAGTACGGGGCCCGTAGCTACATATGTAGCTACTTTTGGTACTAAGAAAAATCCGGTACTGCGTGCCCCGGGGCATTAACACGTCTGGCTTGTACCTCTGGGCTGGCACCTTAAGCAAGTACTCTGTACATTTATGAAGACGCAACTATTATAAGCTCGGGTATCGTGAGTGTGGAGTATGCTGGTCAGAGGCCATGTTTCTTCACTCGAGTAAACAATGCCGAGATGACATGGTGATGTGACTTGGTGTGCTGTAGCCTCTCCCTTCTCAAGTGGCCACCGTCCAGGCAAAGCAAGTGTCGTCATGCATTCACGTGAGCTTCTTGACAGCCAGATGACACCACGGGTTTACCCCTCGTGGCTGATCTGCTCCAGAGTGCTATCCGTGTGTCTGGATTAAGGCTCTTCGTGTGTTCTGTCAACGACGCATCCTCTGGATCAAGTGGTCCGTAGATACAAAATATTCTGGTTATTAGTCGCGTGCAGGATATATCCCTGCTTTAGTTTTGTACAACCTCCTGCAAAGCTCTCCCTTCCCACGTAACATGCTTGCTACCATTGAATGAAAAACAAAAAGAACCGCTTAGCTCCATAGGCTTCGAGCTGAAATCAACTCAGTGGTTGAGATGTGTTTCGTCCATATGCTGTGCACGTACAAAAGTTATCGGACGGCCCACGAACTTATAATAATCTACAACAAGCTGACTGGATTCTTAACGACGCTGTAGAGCCCTGTAACCTCATGCCACTCCCCCCACCACCTCCCACCACCACCTCCAAAAGGAAAATCAACCTCCGCCCTTCATTCTTGCCAGCTCCCACCCTCCATCCTAGCCTCCTCCCCCCGCACCTTAAAAATGTGTTTCACTTCTGGTCGCAGACGAACAAGCTTTCCATCTGCGCTCAGCGGGATAGAGAGAGAGAGACAGGGGGGTAGCAAGCTGCAGGCGGAGATAAAGCAAGCGACATAAGCGAGGCGAGAGGATAGGGGGAAAACGAGACGGGTCCCAAATTTGTCGCTGTGAGGAATGGAAGAAATGAGATATCGCTTCAAGAGAGGAGCAAGGGAGTGAGTGAGAGAGAGAGTGGGAGAGAGAGCAAGAGAGAGAGAGAGAAAAAACCACGTCGTGCAAAGAGTGGCATCACAATGTATGGAAGGAAAACACGTGGAAGGAGAGTATACGAATGAATGGAGAAGACGCGAGGGGCTTAAACATTTCGTAAAGAACAGAGTGAGAACAAGAGAGCGATTAATGGGAACGAAGTTCATGGATGGATAACGTTTGTGAAGCCGCAGTGCGATCAATCGCAATCTCTTCGTCAACTCGGACGGGCGGATCAAGATTGACAACGTGACTTTGATCGTTTTCTACGTTTACATTACGAGCGTTCTTCTTATTTTTTTTCTCTTCTTCCGATTATCATTCCGTAATCAAGGTCTTCGATCTACCGCCTACTTGAGTAAACTGAAGCATAACTTGGAGGAACTCTTCCACCCCACCCCTGCCCCCCAAATGGGCCTTCATTGGACGAATCCCAGGTTCTGACACCACGTCCGACATTGGTAGGCACATGAGCATGCCTCTTGAGAACTTACTCTATTCTTGTTATTGCAGTGCTATTTGCGAGCGGATATGCCCTGCTTGTCCGTCGGGCGGGGCTTTTGGAAATTGCAATTCAGTAACAAGCCCGATCTCTCTCTCTCTCTCTCTGACGGTCAAGTCAACATGGTTCCAATGTTGCATGTGGATATTGTTAACTTGTAGGGAGTCAAATTAAACTCCAGATCCTCAGCTGAACGGATATTATAATATTTGTTTGCCAAATGACAATTTGTGTTCGGTGAATGCGGTTAAATATGCGCGTGTTACGATTGCTGTAATGTTGAAATGTTTGCAATGTTACCGCATGGGCATGTGCCTCGATGCTTTGCGTTATCGTCGTATGTTGAAAACTAAACATTGATCAGCCGATATTGAATGACACAGTATTATCGATATTGAAGTTAACCTGAACGTGCAAGTAGGATTTATATACAAAATTCTCACGTCACTTACACCATGAGGATGATGATTTTAAAGGCTACTTTATCACGATGCAGTATTTTCCGCTAACCAGTGAGAAGGCATCATCACAGTTTTACTTTAAAGGTCGTTCTACCGTAAGCACAACTATACATTAACGTGTACAAACTATACGTCAAGAGCCTTCGCACTGAGCATTGCGTTTGGCGTAGTTGTAGTCGTGGTGTAATGGGAACGTTTAAAAGCTTGCAGCGTCTACCTTGTCGCGTGCATCGTAGAATCGCCATGGACAAGCGTGGAAAGTAAATTGCACTCAAGTGCAAATTCTGCTTTGGTAGAGAAATGTTGCAGTGCGCTGTTACATCGCACGGGCGGGTATTTTAAGGTCAAACGGCACGAAGAACAAAACGCGTTTGCTTATCTTTGCAGACCGTAAAAAAAAACATGTCAATCATTGCCGGATTGCCCCAGTAGCACAAGTAGCTACATCTGTAGTAGCTACATGTGTAGTAGCTACATCTGTAGTAGCTACGGGCCCCGTACTTTCAAGGGCCCCGCGCTAAATGCTTTCAAGCTATCCATTCCGACTTGATTTGGAGCTTTCGTGACTGCAAGCTATCCATTCCGGTTCAGTGACTCTGGTACTTGCTCTATTACTATAGTACTATACTGCCTTCGACTTGTATGAACGACTGGGTGTTTATGGTTAGCGATTGGTCGTATTATATGGCTGTATAGCAAGTGAAAAAATACAATTGCTTTACTATGCAAGTTACAAATTTGTGTTTTAATATGTATATGTTTATTTTAATTTAGGACCCCTTTATAACATGTGCTACAGGCCCCACACTAGCTTAATCCGGCACTGATGTCAATGCAATCGGGGTCGTAACCGTGCCTAGTTACGATTACGAATCAATAGTAATGTAGATTACGAATCAATAGTATGAATCAATAGTATGATTCGTAATCGTTGTCTGTGTCGGGTGAATGAGGGTGTACAACGTACAATTTAGCTACGTGATCTGACCCAAAATATATTGTGAATATCTTCACATTGTATCGTTATCTCTTTATAATCTTGTAACTCAATTTATCTGCGTATGCACTGCTTATTTCCCCGAAAGAATATCATCTGTTTAGTTTTTATCTCCGTGAGCTCTGAAAAGGGATTTGTGTTATAAAGGTTGTAGAGTACGTACCAATCTTACTTATATGTGTATATATCAACATGTGTTCTCTAGCGTCCAACGCCTAACGTGCAACAACTGCCCATTCAATGTAGCCATGTGCTTATTTATTTTTTAAACGACAAAGCGATTAATGTACCCGCATTAATCACGCAAATATGTTGTGCATTTTGCACACACAGCACGCCGAATTAATATATCAAATGTACAAACAACATAGCAATTGGAAGATGTTATCTTCAAACACACGTGTGTGACCGTGTTACCATCAGCCAAAATATGGTAACGTCACACATGCGTGGATATATGTATGTGTGTCTACGAACCCAACACGCTTGCATTTCACTACTGAGCACATTGCGATATGCACCTACGATTAGCACGGTTGACGACGTACGGTGCGAAAGAAGTTCAACGTTCAATATAATGTTACTGCATCGCAGTTCCAGAAGTGTAATATACATGCGGAAAGCGTGTATTTGATGACAATGTTTGCACGTTGGATAGGTATTTGATTAACGAATACCAATCTTTTGGCGACATTCACATACAGTTTATACCCCGTATTCTTGTCCGGGGGAATTGAGTTTTGCAGGTCCATAGGGTGTACAGCCGTTTCAATAGGGGCAAAAAAATGTGTCCTATTTGTTTGTGTTTCTCTCGCTTGTGATGGAACTGTGTAGGATGAACGTTGCGATGTATAAGGGGCAGGGGGTGACCAATACGGTCTGGATTGGTCTGTAATAATGTAGGGGTATACTGATAAGGGGTTGACATGTATGCACTCAAGATTCTATATTTCCCAATGGAAACTATTGATCGCGAATAATACACTGATCATCCATGTACCCCCCCCCCCCCCCCCCCAATTTAAATAACACTTCTTTCGTAAATGAGTTAACATAGAATCGTCCAAACTTATGCATCACCAGCACACGCCTACACAACTCAACACACACATTGGCAATATTCAAAATATGGTATTGTCGTAAATTCTCACCGGGGCAAAGATTGCTTGAGACTGTTCAGACATTACTATACTACCACAGTGCGCTGTGCATGTTAATTGTTTAGAGCAGGTGAGGGTGTGTGTGGTAAACACGTTTAACGCGCACACAAAGACTAAGATGCCCCCCCTCCACTCTCCGTGTAGCCTTAACAGACTGTCGGGGCAAGTGATGTTAGCGAGCACCTATTAAGGTCCTGGCACGACACACGAGGACGAGTGCACACAGACATGCACGTACACGAACACATTTGTGTTTTTATAATAATTTTCGAATTATAAAACTGTGCGTAATAGAGGCAGACCAACTGATGCTCCTGCTGTTGTGGAGTGACTCATGCAGCCAGCTATGGCTACAGGGTTTGGTGGTACATGTTGTTTATGTCGTTTATTGTGAAATTTCGGACACAGTTCCTATGATCACTGTTACATTGCCGATGGCTTTATTTGGGTGATTTCAGAAAGTTTTTTGGTTTGGCCATGTTTGTGTGTTGTAGTACGGAGTTAGAATGATGGCTTTAATCTAAGTTGTCTTGTGGTTGTTGTTGTTGTTGTTTGACTTGCATCCCACTGGGATTTTTGCACAGCGTTGCTGCTTTTTTTCTGGAAGACTTTGCAGTTTTTTCCTGGATTTTTATGTTTGCGCATAGTCACTTTAAGATGTTTTCTTGTTCATGTTTGTGTTTGTTGCGGTTGCACCCGATTCAAGAGCCGAATGGCTCACAGGGCTATACCTAATAAATGAAACTGAAACCGAAACTGAATTTCTGGTTTTGGCCTAAAGCGAAACCAGACCTAAAGTTACACATTTTATTTCGGCCGAAACAGAAACCATGCCGGAAGAGGCCATTTGCCAACTTTCGGCACCGAAACCGAATTTCGGTCGGCCTCTAGTGCGCAATATGAATACGGACCCGAAGTTGACGCTTGCTTTTTATAAGCAGAAAAAAGGCATCACCAGCAAGGAAGGGACATTTTATAATGAACATCTTGACAGTACAGGAAGAAAGAATACCCACCTAACACACGGACAGGCATGATAGAGGTTTAGATCGAGCTTGAAGTAATTTGTAAGCATCTTCTGCAAAGGCTGGAAAGCTAAGCTGAAATGTGGCAACAATTATCCATAGTCTACGTTTATAACTAATGTGCCTATGTATGTTTAACTTTGTTCGCACCGTACGTAGCCAGTCACGCTAATCGGAGGTGCGGGGGGAAGCACAACAAACTAAACGCAAAAAGCAGTTCTACATAATTTGGTATCTGTGTGAGTCTATGGGTATCTGTGTGAGTGTATGGGTATCTGTGTGAGTCGTCTATGGATCTCTGTGAGTCTATGGCTCTCTGTGTGAGTCCATGGGTCTCTGTATGAGTCTATGGATCTCTGTGTGAGTCCATGGGTCTCTGTGTGAGTCTATGGGTCTCTGTGTGAGTCCATGGGTCTCTGTGTGAGTCTATGGGTCTCTGTGTTCAGTTCATTTCATTTACACATGAACAAGAAAACATCTTAAAGTGTGAGTCTATGGATCTCTTTGTGAGTCTGTTGGTCTCTGTGTGCGTCTGTGGGTCTCTATGTGAGTCTATGGGTCTCTGTGTGAGTCGTCTATGGATCTCTGTGAGTCTATGGGTCTCTGTGTAAGTCTATGGGTCTTTGCGTGAGTCGTCTATGGGACTCTATGCGAGTTAGCGTATTGTCTGCATGTCGAATTTCTTTCGCGCCGTACCTAGCCAACCGCACTAATCGGAGGTGCGGCGGGAGGGAAGGACGACAGACGAAAAAACGAAAAGCAATCCTAAAGAAAAATTAGGTTTTCAAACAAATCTCTTTGGAACTAAGAGCAACACAAATAAACCACCACCACCACCAAAGCCCTCTCCGAAATGAGTGACACGGTCACCCGAGATGGAACTTCCAAACGTCGAAGACGAACGTCAGTGGCACATCGTGACACCTGAACCGCCGCGCTGTGGGTGAAGTATGATTATCAAACACACCCCCCCCACCACCAAAGACAAAGATCCCCCGTATAGCCTTAACAGACCGTTGGGGCAAGTGCTGTTCGCGAGCACCTTTTGAAGTCCGGCCAGCACCACGCCCGGCCGCCTTTGTCTCCCGAGTGGCGATGTTTAAACACCACGCTCCAGGTACTCATTTGAGGCTGAGTCGACCTAGGGGAAGCCCAGGACCGCTTCAGATAATCGTCACTGGCGTGAGTGGCCGTGAGCAGGGATCGAACTCGGGTCGCCGGGTTCATCCAACAGTGGATCGACAAAGGGCTTGTACATCATTACAGCAACGGAGCGTGACGCAGTGTAAATGTACATCCAGTACCATATACCAATT